AAAACTTGTGATATATATATATATATATATATATATATATATATATATATATATATATATATATATATATATATATATATATATATATATATATTGATAAAACTAATGTTGCATGTCCCACACAAAGAGAAGGATTTTGGGCTTATAAACTGAATTCGATTGAACCGTCTGGGTTGAATTTAAAAGAATTTGTTTGAACAATAGAGCTAATCAAGCGAATTATTATAATTAGGATATGGACAGTTTAAATAGTTGAACTCAAGTGTACACATGTAATAACGTAACTAGAAATACATGCATGCAATAACCCCTCGCCTGTTTTCAAAAGATATATACTCAGTGCCGTTGCGAGCACTTGGTCGCAGGGTGTGTGTGTGGTTACATAGAGGGGGGGGTTACCAATTTAAAGTTTCCAGATGTATACAAAAAATTTTCAGGACATATAATAATTTTTCCGAAAATACAGTTGTTTTCCAAATTCACTGTCTCAGTCATGTCCTGAGAATTACCTGAATTCCCCTCAAAATCTTCTGCAAATCTACTTAAATGTACGTACTAAAAGTGCACTGGAAATCTACCTGAAATTCATCATGAGCAATTATCAGGGGTGAGTTCCAAGCAAACACTCTCTGATTTATTGTTCGTGTATTTCGATCACCTCCCAAAATATTGTGCATCATACTATAGAGCATTTTGCTGTTGTCATGCTCTAGCATGGTTCAAATTTATGACTTTTTATTATATAAAGTATAGTGTTTTACAGAGTTTTCGAGCACTGACAAAAATGATAATCTCAGATGTGAAATTATTCATGATAATCTCACATATTGTAAAAATTTATCGCCTTTTCAATTATCGCTTTTCTGTAAACATTATCGCTTTTCATTTAAGACTGTCCTTTATATAATAAATAGAAAAATACATGGGTGGTTGGAAATACCAGATTTATTTTTTGTGTTGAACATGACATCTCACTCGTTCGCTGCGCTCACTTGTTCGCTGCACACTCATGTTCAACACTCGAAATAAATCTAGTATTTCGTGCACCCATGTATTATTCTCTATTTAAACTACAGCTAGACTGGTTTAAATTATTATCAATTTATCAGTGATTGTAAAAGTTGGAGATAGAAGTGTTTTGTTTTATAAAATTATCAAGTTGTCGGTGATCGCAAAACCTCCAAATCCTTAATTTCAAATGTTAGGGTTAGAATGTTAGGGTTTGTAATATATACATTTTAAGACCTAACCAGGAACGACTGCGAAAAATGCAGCACAAGGTCCTCTGGTAGGAATTGAACCTACTGCCCTGCGATTCCGGTGCAGCGCTCTAACCAACTGAGCTACAGAGGCCAGCTGTTGAGCTTTAACCATAAGTTCATGTATATTTAAGTAATCGGGTGTGCGGGTTATGATAAGGTGGACTTCAATAATTTGGATTCTTGCACTTCACTTGGTGGACTTAATATTAGAATGTTAGGGTTTGTAATCCAAGTGAGAATATATACATTTTAAGACCTAACCAGGAACGACTGCGAAAAATGCAGCACAAGGTCCTATGGAAGGAAGTGAACCTACGGCTCTGTGATTCCGGTGCAGCGCTCTAACCAACTGAGCTACAGAGGCCAGCTGTTGAGCTTTAACCATAAGTTCATGTATATTTAGGTAATCGGGTGTGCGGGTTATGATAAGGTGGACTTCAATAATTTGCATTCTTGCACTTCACTTGGTGGAATTAATATTAGAATGTTAGGGTTTGTAATCCAAGTGAGAATATATACATTTTAAGACCTAACCAGGAACGACTGCGAAAAATGCAGCACATGGTCCTCTGGTAGGAATTGAACCTACGGCCCTGTGATTCCGGTGACAGCGCTCTAACCAACTGAGCTACAGAGGCCAGCTGTTGAGCTTTAACCGTAAGTTCATGTATATTTAAGTAATCGGGTGTGCGGGTAATATGATAAGGTGGACTTCAATAATTTGGATTCTTGCACTTCACTTGGTGGACTTAATATTAGAATGTTAGGGTTTGTAATCCAAGTGAGAATATATACATTTTAAGACCTAACCAGGATCGACTGCGAAAAATGCAGCACAAGGTCCTCTAGCTGGTAGGAATTGAACCTACGGCCCTGCGATTCCGGTGCAGCGCTCTAACCAACTGAGCTACAGCTCGGCCAGCTGTTGAGCTTTAACCGTTTACAAGTTCATGTATATTTAGGTAATCGGGTGTGCGGGTTATGATAAGGTGGACTTCAATAATTTGGATTCTTGCACTTCGCTTGTTGGGATTAATATTTGAATGTTAGGGTTTGTAATCCAAGTGAGAATATATACATTTTAAGACCTAACAAGGAACGACTGCGAAAAATGCAGCACAAGGTCCTCTGGTAGGAATTGAACCTACAGCCCTGCGATTCCGGTGCAGCGCTCTAACCAACTGAGCTACAAGAGACCAGCTGTCGAGCTTTAACCGTAAGTTCATGTATATTTAGGTAATCGGGTGTGCGGGTTGTGATAAAGTGGACTTCAATAATTTGGATTCTTGCACTTCACTTGGTGAAATTAAAATTAGAATGTTAGGGTTTGTAATTTTAGTGAGAATATATACATTTGCATATTCTCACTTGGATTACAAACTATTCTCATTTGGATTACAAAATATATACACCAAATATATACATGTACACTATACCGGTACATTTGTATATTCTCACTTGGATTACAAAATATTCTCACTAATTGGATTACAAAATATATACATGTATATATTCTCACTTGGATTACAAACCCTAACATTCTAAATAAATATTAATTCCACAAGTGAAGTGCAAGAATCCAAATTATTAATTTCAAATGCCCCGCCGGGGCTAAGGTTCGAGTGGAAATGCCCAACCCCCGGGATGTGCTTTACAGGAAAATGGCTGGGCGAGGGGGATGGGCACACTTGGATTTGGCTGATGCATTAAAAGTCCTGTGCTTATTCCAGACTGTTTGTCAAATATTTACTTGCTAGAAGTAGAAATTTACTCTGACCGCTGGATGAAGAAGACATTAAATATAAAGTACTGGTCAATAAACAGAAATGTATTTTATTTCATAGTATTACAATTTTATTTTTATACTATAAAAATAAAATATAAACATGCAGCATAGAATATGCAAATTCGAGGCAAAATTATTGTTGAATCGGTTTATTTATAGGATTTATAACAAATAGCAACTATAAAAGTTTGTACCTTGTCTTCACATCGTAATAGCCAATGCTTTTAATTTTACATATTTTAGAATCAGTTCCTTTCCTGGTAAATGCATTTCTAAATGAAATCATCGTGAGTAGTGAGTGCTGAGCAGGCTGTTTTACTATAAACAAATTTTAGGAATTGTTAACAACTTTGAAAAATATATCGTTGCACATTCGGTCACAGTCGGAAAAATGTTCATAGTATGTTGTACCGTCGTTTGCAACTAACGATGAACAGT